ACACTGATGAAAAACCGACAATATCAAATTATTCTAATATTCAACACCACAGGTAGAACTAAAATCACGAAAGAATGCTTTCATTTCTAAGCATTTCAATTAAACAAAAGGAATTCTTATTTTTCAATCTGCAAGAAATTAATACCGTTGAGTTGATATTTCACAACCATCAGTCGAATACCCATATTTCGCTCAGGTTTATACTGTGAACAACGAGAAATTTAGGGTACTTGTACATCGTAACAATAGACAGTTTGTTAAAGAATGACATTATTTTCATCAGACAGAATAATTAGAAAAAACGCTAGATCAAAAGTACAGTAAACTGGTTTCTGCCACCCTGCGTATAGCAACTGAACTATCGTAGAATGTAGCTGATCAATAATGATTAACCTTCACCTGCAATATCAGAATTAACCCATCGGTTCGTGAAAAGCGGCTCAACAACAGAATCACTCAATGGTTGGTCAAAAATGGAGCCTCAGAATCATAAAGAAAGTAACAACATTCATTTATAGTAACATACAAGATTATGGTGGGAAAGCGTTTAAAACTTTGAAGGATAGTGGCAAGCGTAACACTCTGCAAACCGTTCAGAACAATCAAGCTAGCAATTCAGAAATATCGAATCAACCGCAGATAATCAACATCGAGTTGTCTCCATGCTTTATCAACATCGAATCAAAATTTTTTGCCTATCCCTGTTCCTAAACATAAAATCTGCTGATGTTTCGTCAGCTTCGTTAGTTTCACTCGTTTCGCCAAATTGTACGCTGTATAGAATTTGTGAACATGAAGGTGATAAAACATCAGTTGAAACCGTCTTCTTTTGCTGATGGTACTACGGTTACTGTCATTAGCCATCCCAACGTAAAATTGTGAATGCCTCCAAATATATGTATCAAGTCATTTCAGAATTAAGTATTTCAATCTGAACATTATATATGACGCCACTTTTTTAATTCTTCTGAATGTTTGCACTGATGATCTGCGATGTTGTTGATGGAAACATCGGTTTGTATCACTCTTCATAAATCTCGCTATTAAATCTTAAACGATTTTCTCGCTGTTACAACCATGGAATTGTAAGATTTGTATCCGTCTGCGAGGCATCGAATCGGCATGTCCACTGCACTTTACAACCATATCTAATCTATCACGTTCTACTTCTCCCTTGTTCAAAAAAAAACAGAATATAAAAGAACAAGCAGCCAAAAGATACACGAATTCAACCGACTGCACCAGAGTTTCAGCTCCTGGCTGATCAACTCAGCGGTTTGAGGACACTTCTGATATACGCAACGGTCCCGCGCCGACTATGCATATATGAATATGACATATACATTCGCTTCCATCGCTTTATTACAATGAAATGGGTTCGTCTTTTCCCTTTCGTTTTAAGCTAGCATTTTGGAACTTCACGGACTTCTGTGCAGATCGAGATTACATCCTCAGATGGTTAAGCAGAACGCCCCACTCCACGGTTCTGTACTAACCATCTAATGAACGAATAAAAACTTAAGCTTTGAATCAACAGCTGACCAACAACCGCTTCATTCTTCAGGCAGATCATGCAGCCGAATGTCTACTGCCTCATGCATATTAACCATTACATCACTCATTTATTTCTGTGCTGGATAATCGATGAAAAGAGTTCAAAAAATCGACTGTAGAGGATATCTTTAAATATCCATCTCGGTCGCAGAATAACATGTGCTTAAACCGACGCGGTTGATATAGTAAAATACTGATGGTCAAACGTGCTGTTATTAAACGAGGATATCGAAGAGCTGCCGAAAAGCTAGTCGTTAAAGCCATGGAGTAGCAAGTGAGAATCGATCCACTCACTATCGTTACTAAAAACCAGATTCTAATTGGGAAACTACACGAACCAGCGGAGCAGTGCGCTGAACAGGTAATCGATCATTCAGTAATATTCGATATCGTCAAAACAAATGCCAGAGATTTACACAGAACTAACATTAAAAACGTTTCAGTTGCCCCTAGACGCCGCAAAAAATTACGGCACAGCAGCAGGCGGCACGGTAACTGACGAAACATCGTCTTCGAATTATTTTCACTAACGACACGAAATCGGATTAACGCTGAAGAAATGGACAGCAGGAAAAGAAACTCGGAATGAGTCGGGGTGAGAAAGATCGTCAATTTGTAAATGTATTGAAGCTTGAAAATTAAAATTTGTGTATTAAATCGTAACAACGAATAAGGTGGCAGTGAATTCCGCTT